AAATTTTAGGCCCTGAGGGGAAGATTTGCAACCCTTTTGTGGTAGTTTGTAGGGCTTCAGATCCTGATACCAGAACTTTGCCAAGGAATTCCAGCACTTTTCCCCTCAAAAAACCGTTGATGGTCACAAAGAAGCCACCCCATGATATTCATGATGACAGGAAAGTGATTAATACGGCAAAATTCGGAAGGTTTGGTGGGAAGTTTGTGCCTGAAGTATTAATGACTTGTTTAACCCAACTTGAAGCTGAATTCAATTTGGTTCTGCATGATTCTCAGTTTCAGGTTTGTTGTAATTATTTAATATTTTGAAATTACTATATATATATAAACAGTAAATCATGATTATTTTTTCCAAAAGCCAGTAAATCTATGATTATATTTTTACCCTTTAATTATTGGATATATTTACTACCACTAAATAAAAATTTTGAGCTCGTTCTTAGCAAAAATATTGCATATTGACTCTGCAGGAAGAGCTGAGGACGGCACTAAGAGACTACATCGGAAGGGAGACGCCGCTGTATTTCGCCGAGCGGCTAACGGATTATTACAAGGACAAAAATGGAGGAGAAGGGCCGGAGATTTATCTAAAGAGGGAGGACCTCAGCCACCTAGGTGCACACAAGATCAACAACGCTATCGCACAGGCCATGATTGCCAAACGTATCGGACTGAAATCTGTGGTGGCAGCCACCGGTGCTGGACAGCACGGTGTAGCATCAGCTGCCGCATGCGCTAAGCTTTCCCTAGAGTGCACTGTCTTCATGGGCAAAGTAGACATGGAAAAGCAGGCATCTAATGTACTCTCAATGAAGTTGTTGGGCGCTCAGGTGAGCATTCAAAGCCTCTGTAGTAACTAAATCTATCAAGTTTTCGTTGTTTAGATTTCTAAATTTAGTAATTTTTTTTGTCAATTTACAAAATTATCTATGATTATTTATGATGAGAATGACACTTCTACAAAAGTTACAACAGTCTTGGAGTTGTAAATATTTGTTTATGAAGGTGAAGCCTGTTGAGGGAACATTCAAGGATGCAAGCTCAGAGGCCTTCAGGAACTGGGTAGGGAACTTGGAAACCACCTATTACCTGATGGGCACGGTGGTGGGGCCTCATCCATGTCCGATGATGGTCCGGAAGTTCCAATCGGTGATCGGATTGGAAACAAGGAGACAGGCAATGGAGAAGTGGGGCGGGAAGCCGGATGTTCTGGTGGCCTGTATAGGGAGTGCTTCCAATGCATTAGGCCTATTCCATGAATTCAAAGGAGACCAGGATGTGCGGCTGATTGGCATCGAGGCTGCCGGATTAGGCCTAGACAGTGGCCGGCACTCTGCCACTCTGTCCAGGGGTGAGGTTGGCGTCTACCATGGAGCCATGAGTTATTTACTGCAAGATGAGGAAGGACAGATACTTGGACCACACTCCATTGGCGTAGGGTAAGTGTGAAATTGCTACTTTCTCATTTTATGTACTTTCCTAAAAAAATGTACTGAAGCCGCATTTTTTCCCGTTGATATTGAGTGTGGGCTATCTATGAAAAAACAGACCAAAAAAAAAAAAAAGGTCTTATCAACCAAATTATAATAAATTGTAAAATATTAATCATTAAATTAAAATTTTTTTATATTAAATTATAAAATAAAAATTATTAAATGAATTATTATCAACTACTAAAAATAAAAAATAAAAAAATAAAATTATCACTTATCTAAATATAAATGGAGAAGTCAATATCGATCCAACATTACATCATTTAGAATCCCTTTCCTACTATGAGACCCCTCAACACATTGGCTGATAATAAAAAGAATGATGATATGGTAGAAACCTTTGGAAGCATGAACATATGCACCATCGATGATGAGACTAAAGCCAATATAGCAATTTTTCCTATTGATAGCAAACTTCTTGATTTTTTTGGTACATAGATGGCAAACCTCTTGATACTTGCATGGTAGAGCTCCTTCCTTTGCCTA